TTTCCCTGATAGTTCTGTTGACTCGTTGTTTGATACCAGTGCTTCTGTCAGTAGACCTGATGGAAGAGGTTTAAAACATAAGTTCAATTCAGCTTCTGGTGCCTTTACTAAGAACTCTTCAAAATCATTATCAAATCCCACAAGTTCCTTGGCCAGGATATCAGAAAGGCCGAGAGATAATGCTGGGGTGAAAAAAGATGTGACTAGTGGTAGTGTTTCTGGTCGGGGTTTTCTTAATTTGGCTTCATCACCTGTCCATCAGGTATGAATATTACTCTTTTAAACCTTGAATTTGAGTATGCTTAACCCACTTCTGCTTTTGACATGACATGTACCCAGAAAAATATTGATACTTGATAATTTGATAACGAGTTAAAATTTTCATTCCCTACTCCCTAGATGGTACTATTTTTCTGAAAAGGACACCCTTGGTGGCGATGCCTAGATATGGATCAAGTTTGTGGATTTGGAACTCTTGTGTATTTTGAATCTTTTTGTGATATCAAGTCAGTTTGGTTAAATTTTTCAACAAGCAATTTTAGGAGAATAAGAAAATACAATGAATTCGAGGTAAAAATGAACCAAGGAGAAAGTCCTCTCCTAAGTTAAAAATCAATTTATGTGCCTCAACTTTTTCAGTGGTTCATTCCTCTAACTTTAACATAAGTGGATTTTGATATATGGTCTATGTTTGATAGATTTTACCTCAAATTTAAACTGGATCATTATATTACTGGTTTTGGTGACTTGTTTCAATTATTGGAAGTAGATTTTCTGTTAAACTTATTCTTTTTGTTGGTTTTGTAGGCCAGAACCATTGATGCCTCGGCCCATCCTGTAGATACTATTTCCAACGCAAATGTTTTGTCCCATCATAATCAATTAAAAATGGCTTCCCCTCTGAGTAGAGGATTTTCTGATTACGGATCTAATGCTAATGGACAGTCTGCAGTTGCTAAACTTCGACCAAAGGTTCACATTGGTAAAGGACCGAGTGACATGAGTGGAAGTTCTGATGTTCTGGGTGAGCAAAATCGGGGCCCTAGAATTAGTAGTAGTAAGTCGAAATATCAATTGGCTGGCAAAGCCTATTCAAACAAAGGAGATGGCAATACACAAGAGAACATCATAATTTATACTGATCAATATAACAGGGAGGATTTCTCTGTCAACAATGAAAATGCAAAATTTTTTGTTATAAAATCATACAGTGAAGATGATGTGCATAAAAGCATTAAATATAATGTGTGGTCATCGACACCTCATGGAAACAAGAAGCTGCAGAGTGCTTATGAAGATGCTAGGAGGCTAGCTCCAGTAAAATCTGGAGGCTGCCCTATCTTTCTTTTCTTTTCTGTGAGTTTTCATTATGATGATGCATTCGATGAGTTTTGATTCTTTTTCTTTCTGATCTGCTTTTGTAAACTTTTTGTGCAGCTCCAAATTTCCCTTCTATTGACCATGCTGACTTCTTTTTCCTCAATGTAGGTTAATGCAAGTGGTCAGTTTTGTGGGGTTGCAGAGATGGTTGGGCCTGTTGACTTCAATAAGGACATGGACTTTTGGCAGCAAGATAAATGGAATGGGAGCTTCCCTGTAAGGTGGCACATCATAAAAGATGTGCCAAATGCAAATTTTAGGCACATTATACTTGAGAACAATGAGAACAAACCTGTAACTAATAGCCGAGACACACAAGAGGTATGCATATTGTGTTTTTGCTCAGCAATTCATTTACCAATCTAGAATTGACATGTTTGCCCCACTGCCTATAAGCTGTTAATATTAATGTTTGAGTAAGTTTTTACCTTATTGAAGTACATTGAACTTCTGTGCTCTGTGTAAGAACATTGTTTAAATTAATGAACATAGTATGGCTTTATTAAGGCTTATTGAGTAAGTAGATCCCTATTCCCTACCCATACACATGCTCATGTGTAGATGCATTCGGATTGTCAATTTGTCATACTTCTGTGACTGGATTGAAGTAATCTCAAGTTTGTTTGTTTGTTTGTTTTTTTTTTTTTATTTAATAATTTGGAAGCAGCTGTTGTTTAATTTCTGTTGTTTTGGTTTTGTTACCATCTGTAAATTTTTAACGGGGTGTGTGTTTTTTATCCCTGACTATTTTTTGAAGTATTTTTGACTATCAAACCCCATTCTTGCACAGATAATGTATACTAAAGGTTTGGAAATGCTGAAGATATTCAAAAACCATAGTTTGAAGACATCTTTGCTTGATGACTTTTTGTATTATGAAGACCGTCAGAAGATTATGCAGGAAGAAAAGGCCAAGTTGCTAATTAGAGGTTTTGAAAATCCATTATCGTTACCCACATTGGAAGCCCCTCGGAAGTTGAATTTTGTCATCGACATCCCTCCAGTCGGTGATGAGAAGAATTCAAAGATGGGTGATGAGTTTGATAGCTTAAAACAGACTTTAAGTGGTGGACATATTGTTAGTAGTTCTGAGGTCACCACCACTGCATCCGAGGATGAAAAGGCTGAGAAAGAAGATATTGCTTCTGTCTTAAAGATTGGTTCAGTCACCATTACCCCAAAACAAGTGGAGTCTAAACCATCTGGCATTAGTTTTGATAATAAGGAACCGCTTGATGTTATCACAGTAGGCTCAATGCAAGTCAAAGTTAATGGATTTGCCGAGTCTTCCGGTTTTTTGAAGATTGGGAGTATACCACTTGATCCGAGAACGCTACAGCTGGACGGAGGTACTCGTGTTAAAAATGGATCTTAAAATTTGCTTATAAATATGAAAAAGGAACGTTTTGGATCTTTGGAAAGGATGGATTAATCTCTGCCCGATTGTACCACTGTTGGGAAGTTGGGTTTCTCTTTGATCTTTTTTTACTGCTTTTTTTGTTTGCTACAGATTGATACAAAAGTAATACTGATGTCATGGATCTTTCAAGCGGTGTTGATTCAAAATCTTTTAATGAAGCGTGTTAACCTCTTTTGTATTTCGGCCGTCACCAATCATTAGTACATGTTTGTTTCTTCATTGCAGATTTTCTCTGTAATTGTTATGTTAGTGTTGTTGATTATTGGAATCTGCAACCATTCTGCCTTAGTTTTTTTTGGAATGTGTTTATGTTTGATCTAATTTAAATGAACGAATGTGAGACTGAGTCAACGCATGCTTCGCTTTAAGAATATATATGCAAAAAAATCGTCTGTCTCGGGTTTGTTTCATTTTGTAGGAATAGAATGAAGAAGTCAATTTTGCTTACTTTTCCTTTAGTATGCACAGTTAATATCTGTTGAAGTTTACGGGTAATTGCAGAGTGAAAAATCAAAATATCTAATAAAATAATTAATAAAACAACTTATGCAATTAAAATTCTATAAAATAATTATATCTAATAAATTTTATAATATTAATATATTAATATATAAAATATATACAAGCATCAAACATAATTTCTTTGTACACGAAAAAAAAAATATAAGATAGATGGGTTGAATTACATGTATATAAAAAATTAAGTCCATTGAATTGTGTGCAATATTGCAATGTTAAAGAGTTTGTACGATTGTAAAAAAACTCCAATAATTACTATCATATGTTACCGTGTTTTTTAAAATGTAGAAAATAGTCAAGATGTCATTTTTTTATTTTTAATTTTAGACTTTGTTGAAACATTTTAAAGAAAATATTTTTCAAAATTAAAAGGAAACATATTTACTTTCTTTTAAAATGAAAATAGAAAATAGTGAAACCAAATAAGTCCGTAGGATTCATTTAATTTGAAATTTTTTGTCTTCATTTCAATGAAAAATGAAAAGTGTTAAAAATATGATTGCAACAACTTTAAAAAAATGTTTTCAAAATAAGGTTCAAAATTGAAAAAAAAAATCGTTATTTATTTTTTAAATGATGACATTTTTTTCAAGTGACACTAAAAAAAAAGCTATATATTATGTATTGTCATGTGTACAAAATATTAACGTTGTTAGTCTCAAGTGAACGTAAATGACCATATTACATCTTTTTAAAATTTTAAAAATTGAATTGAATTTTTATAATAGAGTAGAAGAACCAAAACAATTTGATTAAATAAATGAGAGATTAAAAAATAATTTAGTCCAATAATAAAAAAATGCTTTAAAAGAACTAGTGATTAACTTGGTAAAAAAATGAGTTTATGGAGTTGTTAGTTGAAAATATAAATAATACATTATATGTATAATATATTTGTAATTTATGTCATAAAATATTATAGTCTTGTGGTAAAAATTTAATAACTCAAATTGAAGGAGCTAGACTAGAGATCTTTTGGCTAATTTTTTTTTTGAAAAGAATTAGTTTAATTAAATGTACATAGAGAAACATCTTTGAAATGTGTGATTCAAGACAAAAAATTTTTGGGACTAGAATCTCTGAAAGGAGTTTGAATAAACTTATGACAAAGGAGTTTGAAATGATATTAGATGATCTCGATTATTTTGTTACTAGGTTATATACATATCATTAGACTAGATAAATAATGTTATTGATGAGATTGGTTAAACTGGCCAATTCAAGTTAAATTTTAAAACTTTAATAAAGGTTGTCATTAGTATTATTTTTATTATTTTTATATTCAACATAAATGAATTTTAAGACTTTTAAATTAACTTTAAGATAAAAAAAAAATCACACTTTTAACCTACACATTTAATTTTTGAAAAAAATTGGAAGTCTAATATCGAAAACCTCTATCTAGACATGTAAATACTAAGTGGATAAGAATGGTTAGATATTGTATTTGAATATAAATATTAATTGTATTAATTTTAAGTATATAAAATTCTGATGATGCTAAATCACTATATGAAGATATAAAAACAATTTATTTTTATTAATTTCAAACAATTAAAAATTAAATAAAAAAGGCCATGGTCATTAACAGTGTAATATGAAGGAGTGACAAAACTTGTACTATGTAAAATGTATTAGTTAATGTTTTCTTAAAATTTGCAAGCGTTGTTGGAGCAAAGACAAAAGACTAAACGAAATGGGTGTGACCGAGTCAGTTGAGATGGCACGAGATGGGACCCACTTTCAGTTCGCTCTACTTATTGTTACTCTTCTCCGTGCGTGTGTCTCTTATTGTCTGGAGAAGAAGAATCCCAACCTAGCTTCACTCCGATCAGGTATTCTCCATTCGCCTCTTGCATTTGCGTTTCCCACACTCACAGCTTTTCCGTTTATCGGTTTCGCTAAAATGCTAGTTCATGCATGAAACTGAACCGGTCCGGTTCATCAACCGCGATTGCCCCTGGGGTTGGGCTTTTATATTCGACCTGTGATCGCATTTTGCTTATGAGAAATGGCTGAATTTCCAGAACCATTTTCTCTCGACTTGTCTTCTTTTATTATTATTTCACTGAGAGAAACAACCAGAGAAAATGAGATTAAAAATAGGGCCAAGTATGTTTTAACGAGTTAACTGGGATTTATCTGTTAGAAATGCGAATTTTCCATACAATACCTTGATAGTGCTCCATTTTTTCGTTAGTTACCTCGAAACAATTAATTAAAAATTTATAAAAACAAATAAATAGGAAGAATGAACAAATAATTGCGTGAGGACTATAAAGCATGTTGCGGCCTATTGTGAATGTTTCACTCATTGTGTTGCAGCCACTGCAGCGCTGTGTTGTGGATTTTCATGTGATTTACAAAAATAGTGCAATTGGAGTGTGATGCATTTCAAACCATGGTTAATAAAATCTATATGCTAGGGCTACGCCGTTAGTGTTTGTTGAAAATGTTTGATTTCGTTCAGTGTTTGATTTCATATTATATTTTTCTGCAGGTTTAAATTGCAAGGTTTGTGGGACTGGTCTTCTAGATTTCCTATTAATGTTCTACTTCATTATAATTATGCAAGTCATTCCACTAGAAAGTTGAAATAGCTATTGTATTGATGCAATCACAAACTGTTGTTTATATATACAGGTAAAATGGCAGGGGATACTAATAGAAGAGAAGGAAAAACTGTTATGGTTCCAAAAACTGAGGATTTGGATTATGAGTTACCACCTTATACTACCTTTTCAGGGGATGTTGGGGTATGTCTCAATATATACACAACAAATGCTGAGTCTTAAATGCTAACCATCATATCTTGTGATGCATGAACTCTCATTATGCTTGTAGTTCTTTACCATTGTCCGGATGTTAACCTCTGTTTTAAATCCTGGATAGCAGCACGTAGTGGCTGGTCCAGAAACACTATAGTGAGATAGCTGCTATTCTGAATATGTGTATCTATGAGGCCCGGATACTTCAAAAATGGAAAAGTATCAGTATCTCAGTCTGTTCCTATTTTAGATCTCAATATACACAAAACACATGCCGAGTCTTAAATGCTAACAATCATATCTGATGATGCATGAGATCTCATTATGCCCGTAGTTCTATACCATTCTCTGGATGTTAACCTCGGTGTTTTAAATCCCAGATAGTAGCATGTATTGGCTGGCCCAAAAAAACTATAGTGGGATAGCTGCTATTCTGAATATGTGTAATTGTGTGTGTGTGTGTGTGTGTCTATATATATATATATTAAAAAATTATAAAAAAAATACTCAAAATTCACTAACAATAAAAAGTCATAGATGTCTTGAACAAAACATACAAGTAAATACCAACAAAAGTCAAACACAACTACACAAGTCTTCCTTATCATTTTCACTATAATAGTAGCTGTAGATTTCATTTTTGGAAATTGCAATCTCCAGAACACCCTTCTAATAATTCCTAACTGCTAGTGCAGTTACCCCGTCTGTTCTGGTTGCTATTCAGCCTGCTATTTGGTCTGCTACAGCTGCTACACTAAACCGCTTTGCTACGGTGGCCTGGGGCCACCCTGCTTTGCCACTATAGTGCACTATTTAAGACCCTACTTAACCTTATACCTTCCTGATGTTAAGCTTGGTACATTTAAACAATTATATGAACTTTGGGCTATATTATATGATAAATTCTTGAACTGATTTTTTTCCTTTCAAGAAACTATTCACTGCAAAAGCTTAAACTATTTGGTACAAGGCTAAGATGAATTTTGAATAATATCTCCAACAAATTGTTTCATGGATTAGTCCTTCTGGCTTGACATGTGGGTCCATGACTTCCTTGTGTTAAATTTTATTTAATTTATAAGATTGGGCAAGTAAGTTCAAAATATTGACCATCCTGGTTAGACAGGCACGTAATCCATGTTCAGGGGGTTGACCTATGTATAATTTTGTTTCATAGCTTCAAGAGATTCCAGTGTTATCTACTTCCATGCAAAATGTAAATTAATTGAGTTGACTAAAGCTAATGCTGTATCCGTTTTTCACTCTGATTTCCAATCTCTGCTACTGAGCATGCGTTGAGTTTCTATTTTCTTGTAGGAAATCTTATTCTTAGGTAATCTGATGATGAAACTAAATTAAATTAAAATAAAGGTTTAAATATGTTTTTAGTCCTCATAAAATTAGCAAGTTTTGATTTTAGTCCCTATAAAATTTTTCTTTTATTTTTCATCCTTATAAAACTAAAACTATTGTTTTTAGTCCTTATTTTTATGTGGTCATTTTTTAACTACTTTTTATTTATTAAAAAATTAAGTAATTATCTTAAATATTACCTACAATCATTACTGATATCATATCAATATTTAACACTTCTAAAAAAAATTATCGGTTCTTAAATAAATGTTATTTATCCGCTTTAAAATGACTATTAGGGACTAAAAATATTTAGTTTAGATTTTAGAGGGATGAATACCAAAGAAAAATATTTTACAGGGATCAAAATTAAAATTTACTCATTTTATGAGGACCAAAAACAATGTTTATAAATTTTAGAAGGATGAAAAATAAATAAAAAAATTTTAGAGGGACCAAAATCAAAATCATCAATTTTATAGGGACTAAAAAATATTTGTCTAAAATAAAATCTTTAAAAAATATCCATGCAATGACAATGTATATCCATCTTAGTACTGTGTGAGAGGGATAATTTAATTTTTGTATGTGAGATTATGAATGATTCGAAAGTCTTTATTTATTGTGTTTGTTTGCTTTAACCCTATCGTGCCAGATTTATGAATTCTTTCTGTTTACAATTCTGTAAATGCATTGTAACTTGACAATACATTATTTCTACTTGTTCACAATGTATAAATTATAATAGCATAACATACATAAAAAATAATTGTTTTCATTAAAGTTTCTCTTTTCTTTGTCTGCTTTTGTTTAACTTCTTCTCTTCATAATTACCAGCTCAATGTTGCAAGTTCATCTGGAGGAAAACTACGAGCATTCTTTATTGGAATGGGATTCCTACCATGCCTTGTTGATAAAGTGATAGAGGAGAATGGTACATTTTGTGGGAGCTGGATGCTTATGTCACATTGTCATGTGCTAAATGCATGGCACTTTTTATGAATTTCTGAGATATTTCACTTTTCCATTTGAAGTATTATGGTTCTGTTTGGTTTTCTTTGAAATTTACAGGTGAAGAAAATTCTGAAACTTTATTAGAAGCTCTCTTGAGATATTCTGTAAGTTGACCAAAATATATGTTATAGTTTGTTTTTATTGTTGGTACCCTTGGGATTAGGATTCAGAAAGTTTATATTTATTTACTTTTAAAATTTATAAATAATGATAAAAGATGAACGATGTTCTGTATGTTCATTGAGATGAGAAATGTTAATTTGTACAGACAGATACCTATATACATGAAGGATTCAAATTATCATTTTATAAGCATAGTCCTTGAATTGCATATTGCTTGTACAAAGTAGAAAAATGTAAAAAAATAAGAAGCTAATTTGTTTTTTACCTGCAATGTTTTTTGCTCTGTATAAATTTCCTTACAGAAGACACAAATATGTGACTTGGTAGTCATGGATTCTAGTGCGGCTCTCTGGACCTCCACAGTAGTCAGAACCTTGTTTACCAAGCAACTTTTATTTTTATTTTTATTTTTATTTTTATAAATATTATTCTTAAATTATGTCATTTATTAGGCTTCTAGTGCAATGTTATACTAGCAATTTAATTAAATAAAAAATATCCATTTGCTTTCCCATGTAAGTTTTTATTACACCAGTTGTGTGATATTGAATGGGTATGAACACCTTAATTTGTGATATTTGTCCAATAAGAACATTAATGGATTAGAATTTGAATTTCTGCACTATAGAATTAGGAGTTTGGGTAGGATAAATGTAGATATTTGTAAATAATGATAAATGTTACTTTCTATTTTTAGGGATGCAGATAACTAACTCCTTACTTAATTCATGCCCTATCTCTTTATGTAAGAGAGGACATTGTATTCTATTTTTTCATATCAGTTAAAAAAGTATATTGTTTTCTTTCAAGCTAGGTACTATAGTCAACTTAGTGCTATTTTGTAAATGCATCAAGTAATCCTTCAATATCAGATGCCATTGTATTGGTCCTTATACAGATGAAAGCAATGACATTAATTGTCATTGAAGGACCAAGTTGATGCTACTTATAAATGGAGCCCTAATGTGATATTGATTAATCTTTAGAGGACCAAAATGAACATATACTTTAATATATCATGTGTTCTTGATTCCCCCTTCACTATATTTTATATCGGTGAATAGAGGACGGATCATGTTTTTTTTTTGTCAATTTGCATTAGTAGATAGTAAGCACTTTATAAGGAATAAATATATTTTGTGGGGAGTTGGAACAGGGATAAATTCTGCTTCATTATATGATTTTTTGAATGGTTATAAACTTCTAAAAATACTCAACAGCTGTGTTTACTCCCTTCATATGTTAATACTGTTGCCAATATGCTCTCTAAACTTTGGACTTAATATTCTTATCGGTGACTATTATTTCCTATTGATCAGGCTAATAAATCCAACTGTGACTCATTTGATTCTTTGGGTGGTTCTCACAATACAAACAGGGGTACAAGTGCCCCAAATTTCTATCCTGGTGGCCACTCAAAAGAGGTAACTTGGTGCCTTCTATCACCCCTCCACCCAAATTTTAAACCTTTCAGGCTAAAATTTTTAATTATATAATTCTATTTACTGACTGTATGGGTCAAACTTTAAAGGTATAATGAGAATTTTATATTTTTTAGTTGATTAATTTATTGAAGTGTTGACTATCCTTCTCTTTCCTACTGCTAGAAAATTAAGGACATATCTTGCCAAATGACTTATTTTAAGTAATGGCAGTGATCTTTTTTTTCTCCTGGAGTTAGAATTTGGGATGGTAAGGTGCTCAATGCAACATATTCCTGTTTGCATTATCTGAATTATTTTGTCAGAGAGAACTATTAGATATTTCAAGTGATTGAATGATGGGATAACAATAAAGTTCTAAATTCTTTATTGGCTTGAAGTTTTAGCTTATACCTGGCCTTTTTCCATGCTGCTTCTAAATTTATTTACTATCTCTTGATATACTTTCTTTTTTCTGTTCCATCTGGTAAAGGCACTGTTTGTGCACCAACCCTATTGATGGGTAATCAATTACACCTCAATGTCTTGCAGAGATCCCCTTCCCCTCTACAACAGTGGCAGCAAGTTCAGATTTGCTACAGAATAAAATTCTAAATTTTTTTAGCGTGACCTGTGTTTACATCTACACAAATAGATATATATTGTTTTATAAGAAAGTTGAAATGCATTGATAATATAATATAAAATTGGTTGAAAATGCATTAATAATGTGCCTCAAGTACTCCACCTTGTTGGCCGCAGATGTGCACTTCTCTTTACAGAATAATGATTTCTTCTCTAGATTAGCAACACTACCTTCAAATGCTTCACAATTAGAGTTCAATGCAAGATAGAGAAATCATAACTGAAACATAACTGAATTGTCATGATTCTGTTATGTCTGTTACAAAGGGAAGACTATATATAGACAGACCTCTAGGAACAATGAGCCCAAGCCCATAAACAAGAGAAAGAGAAAAAAACAGAGAGCTATATAATAGAAAACTATAAACCTATACATGTTTCTCTAATAATTTTCAATGGAGGGACTATAAATCGAAATATCATCAAAGAAGGCTAGCACAAATCTTCTGAGATGAGTTTTGAAAATGCTGTTCATGGCCCCTTGAAAAGATGCAGGAGCATTGGTTAAGTCAAATGGAATGACCAACCATTGTTGAGTTGCAATGTGGTCTGAATTCTGCTATGTTGCAGATTTTGGAAATACAATTTGTATTTATCTTAATACCCTAATTTTTAGGATTTTTTCTGTATAGGATAATAGCTTAATCTTTTTTTTTATCTTATTTTAATTTTATCTTATCTTAATTTTAGCTTATCTTTTCCTCATCTTTAGCACTATGTTGCAGTTGGATCTATATATTTGTGTACCCCTTTTACAGCATGAATAAATCAGAGAACACAGTTTTTCATATCTTTTTCTCTGATCTCATGTTGGTATCAAAGCCTATCTTAGTGGCTGTTGTTTTGCTCATTGGACTATTTTTTCTTGTTATCAGACCATTCATTGATGTCTAGTCTTCCAATTTTATGTTCGAGATGATTAGTTCCAAATCCGAGGGATGTGTGTTGGATATTTCATATTGTCTAGTGATATGGTCAAATAGCATGATATAGGAGATTGAGAAGGCTGTTAATCAATAGACACAAACAGAATTAACCCAGCATATAGAAGTGAACTTGTGTTTTTGATAAAATTCTGAAGAAGTATTCTTGGTACAAAGGCAAATGAAATATTAAAATGACTACAATGGTTGAAGGGAGTCTCCTTGCAGAAATGAACAATGAAATGGTACTCTGATAGGTCAGTTAGTAGTTATGTTAGTAATTTGTTAATCAAACAAATACAAGGGGTTATGTTCGGAAGAAGGGGCCTGGAATTGATGAGGCCAATTGAAGGTGGGTTTATGTTAGCAGACCAGTAGCTGTAGCTGGATGTAAATAGGAAGAAGGGTTGAAAGGGATTTTTCTTTTGGTCTATTTATGAGAGAATTGGGGCCTTTGGGCACCTGGAGGTGTAGACCCTCGAAGCTCTGTGATCATATGTAATCAGGGAAATTTCTCCATTTTTTTTAATAATTCTGGCCCAATTTTTATCAACTGGTATCAGTGCTATGGTCTTGGAGCTTTGGGGAAGTTGTTTTGAAAGTGCATCAAAGACTGATTTCCATATTAGATAGAAGGGAGGCCTATTGGTGTCTGATCAAGGTAGAGAAGTATTTTGTGGCCAATCTATTTCATAAAGATGTGAAACTATTGTTGGTTATGGGGCATTGGAAGGAGAGACTCTCAAATGGCAGCCATGGGTTTCTTCTTGCAAGGAGATCAAGTGGCATGCAACCTGGTGTACTTTTCAGAACGCAGTGCTCTAGACATTCCAAACTTAAGTTTGAGTCTCTATAAGATTCAGAAACTGGGGACCAAGAACCAGTGGAGCAGAAGGCTGAAGCTGATATTGAAAGGATCAAGAAAACATAAAAAATGAACAATGGGAGAGAGCAGAACCAGTGGTTCAAGGGCTAGTAACAAATACTAGAAAGCTACAAAAATTGGTAGAAACCCAAAAACGCATTCTGGACACAGAATCAAAAAAAAAAAAAGCAAAAATAAAGTTCTTGAGATCAAGAATTACCGCAGCAGAGCTGACAGAGATGAGTCTATTTTTTGGGTTGTGAAGGGGAGGCAAAATTTGACCGAAGCCCTATGTTTGACTTTGACCCTAGGGAGAGCCAAGGAATGAACTGGGGTCAATAGTGGAGGTTATGCGTTTGGGTAGTACCATCAACCTACCACAGAAGCACAATGAGGTGGAGGGTCTTTATAATCCTCAGCTGCAACCATGTGCAGTAGTTCCGATTGCCATAGAGGCATGGGATCTTCTCAGTTTAATTTTAAATGCTCCGATGTGCTGTTTCATGGCCAAAAGTACTGCAGAAAACAGAGCACTGAAATAGCATGGGGGTGTTTGCATGTTTGTGTTTGACTCAGGAGGATTCAAAGTTCATTTTGGGCTGCAGTGGTCTGGTTGGCTTGGACATCCTACTTCAAAGAACTAGCACAGCGAAGGGAATTAATTTCAGCAGCAATAAGTTGTTCACCTTGAGGACAGGGTGAATGTTCAAGGGGGATAGTATTGATGGGTCAATTAGTAGTCATGTTAGTAATTCATTAGTCAAACAAATACAAGGGGTTATGTTAGAAATAATAAGGGGAATGGACTGCAATTGATTAGGCCCATTGAGGGTGGGTTTATTTTAGCAGATTAGAATTTGTATATAAAGAAGGGCTAGGAGGGATTTTCTCTGGTCTATTTGTGAGAAATTGGGGTCTATGAGCATTGGGTGATGCAAACCCTGAAAGTTCTGCAAGTTAAGTAGTTTTCGTTCTGTAGTCCTGATACAGTTTCAATCATACTCTCACTAATGAGAATACCCCCTACTGAGATGAGATTTGCTGCTCAAGAATCTGTCCTCTAAATACATCTTTTATCTCTCTCCTTCTATGATTCCCACATCTCCCTCCTCCACTTCCCTATTGCCAGCTGTCATTTCTGTTACTTCATCCTTTCCCATTTTTCTTTCTTCCAAATGTTTTGCCACCTGTCTGTTTTTCCTCACATATACCCACAGGCTGTGTTCCTTAGGCCCAATGTTCACATTTCCCCCTCCTATCATAAACTCCCTTTCTGTCCCTCCTTATATAAACGTTCACAATGGGCCTATCAAACTCATTGGAGAAGGGCAACAAAAAGATAGGTCAGACCAAAGATGCGAGAATTTCTGAAGTTCATCTGAGATTTCATTCTTGCTGTCACTAGAATGCTACAATGCCATTGGTATGGTAGCCACAATTATAAAACTGTGACACTAATAATGCTTTTGTAAGTTGTTTTCCCCCAATCCCTCCACCATAATCAATCACCGCAGCAATTCAATAGCACTGATTGCTAATATATGAATCTGCAAATTGTTGCCAAACAAAGGATCCTCAGAATTGTGCATGCTCATTCCAAATTGTGTCATTTGCTTCTTTAGATACTGCTGCTCCCAAGCCATATTTGACTTCTGCAGATGTTTGTGTGTGGGAATTTATTTTAGATTTTTAGTTTAAATTCATTTTAAGGTGTTCACCAACATTCAATTGAACTTGACTGTAAATGTCAAGGTGCTTTAATGAGCCAGGAGCAAGAATAGGATAATTATCTTGCTGTTTCTATTTATCCACATTATTTATTGTTTTATTATTTGAAGAGTCCAGTTAACTTTCAAAGTATGTTCACTTTTTAAAGGGTTAACTCTTTAAAATGGTTTATGTAAAACTTTTAACTGCCTTTTCATTTTTCTTTGTAATTATATAGGCTCTTCAAAATTCAAATTCACTGTCGTCTGATTCTCTGGATAGTTTATTTGATGATAAGGATCCTCCAGAGATTTCCAATGTCAATCAAGCGAAAGAGGTACTTGCTTCTTATTCCTCAGAAAACATAACGGTTTATTACAAAATTTAGTCAGAGCATATTGTGGTAGGGATGGTTTGAGTGTTTGATCTTGAATATTTGAATTGAGCCAAATGGCATCATCTGATTCTTGTGGCCAACCTCACCTAGTCCGATAAGGCTTTTGTTGTTGTTGTTGCTATTGCTTTATTGCACATTATTAATCCTTGGCTTGTCACTTATTTGTGCTAGTTGTAATCTGCAACTGTATGTTGGTTTAATCTTTTTAATGTTCATATATTCATATGTTATCCCTATTTCCAAATTGATATTTTCTTTCAAATAATTGCTTTTCAGATTTTCTTGCATCTTATTCTCAACCTTTAAAACTGATTGCATAATTTTTAAAAAGGTGTGGCCTGTTTGTGCATCATTTAAAGTTGTGGTCACCCATTTGTTGCATACACCATACCAACAATGAATGCACCCAGCAACAAAGCAGTAGGGGATGATGAATAAATGAAGCATGTGTAGCGTATGGGGAGAGGCAGAGAATGGATCAAACAAAGGCTTTCCTTTTAAAAATTGTGTTATATTGGAGGGGGAAGATGGATTGTTTCCCTCTCCCTTTGCACAATATTTCAAAGATAAAATTAAAAAGCTATTTGTTTTAGGGTTTTTCTGAACCAGGTCACACACAACCTTTTCTGAACCAGGTCACACACAACCTGATTTAGTTACATTTTGCCCCAGTTGTGGAGAGAATCATGCAATTCAACCGATTCTGAGAAATATAGATGATTTATAGTGCGATGCAGCACCAAAGAGATTCACTGTTGAGCTGTATTGCTGGAACTTGAATCAGATCGAATTGCAATCCACAGGATTCTGATAAGATTGGTTTGGCACCTGTTTGTTGTATATACGATATGCATCATCTGAAGATGTGGTCACTGGTTTTTCACATGTATTACTGGCATTTCATACATTTGCTTTTTCTGCCTAGGGTGACAATTGAATATGCGTGATGATGTATTTCAGCTTTCCGTTGTTGACCTTGACAATTTAGTCTCTTTCTTGTTCTTGGTAGTAGGGTTTTCTTTCTAGTTTCAACATTTTCCTTAATATAGCATATGTTTTGTCCAATTCAATTTGATTCTTGTTTGACAAAATCTCTCTTGCAGGAGCCTGATGAACTTAGTGGAGTCATTGATGATAGAAGAGGTTCCTTACTGATGATGAATTTCTCTGCAGAGGAAGTTGATTTCGCAATTCACAAGCTTGGTATGATAATGCACATTTATCTGTACTGTTGCTTTCTGTATACTTTCTGTTTCTGGTTGTATTTGGGCCATAATTATTTTCGCACCAGTTCTTGTCATGATTGACCGCCAAACATATGTTTATAGGTCTTCTTGAGTAGCCAGAGAAGTAGGGCAGGACTTCAATAGGCATGTGCTTGAATTATTAATTCATGCCTGCATAGTTGGATGTGCTAGCAAAACCCGGACAAATTACATGAACAAAAGGCTCTTGTTAAGCATGTATTGAATTGTTGTGTCTAGACTTGTGGGGGAATATTCTACATAATTTGTCCTCTGTTTGATAATTAACTTTTTAGGTTGGCCCAAACCCAACAAACATTGGTCTCTTGATAGATATGAAAACAATACTAACTATGAATAATTTGAGCAAGTTTTTGAATATGTCTGGTTGTAGAGTTTTTTCATATGAGTGCTTTCAGTTATTATCTGAGATCTAATTAACTTCTTGGCATAATATGTATACTTATACAGATATATGTTCATATCTACGTTTGTCAATTACTGGCAACAATAATGATTTCTTGATTCATATTGTTTAATTACAGGTAATGAAGCATCAATTCCTGAGCTAGTGGACTTCATCTTTGCTGTGCAGATTGCAAAAAAATTGAAAAAGGAACCAGATGATATCACCTATTATGCCAAAGGAAATGAGGTTTGATCTTCAACCCATTTAATGAGATTTTTTTAGGAGATAAATACAGTGGTTCTTCTAGTAATTTTTTTTAAGTTAACCCTCAACTTGATTATCCATTAGACAAAATAATATTGGCCATGTTGCTACATGTTGTGAACTTGTGATAGAACTGGTTTCAAGAAAGAAGAAAAGAGCTGAATCAGGAACTAGTTTTATTGAAGAATTGAAAGAATACAGAGGTTTATTTGAGAGTACCTGACTCTCCCACTCCAAGAATGATCAATGTACAAGATACCCCAAACAACTGCTAAACTTCCCTTTACATCTTCTCCTAACTTCCTGACTACAGCTGTCAAACATTCAGCCACTTTGGGCTGGGGTCCTCTTGACATGCTTATTTCTCCTAACATAGACCTTCTTAATAGGGGGTTGTTGCCTATCAACTAAATTCGTGAGAGAAAAAAGACAATGCAAATAAATGAGCAAGACATTATCAAGGGAACATGGCTATTGACTCTACTTGCTTTTCTGAAGACTGGATGTGATTCTAATGTCATATAGTTCCCCTGTAGTGGAAAATACATTTTCTTTTGTGAATACTCTCTATATTGGTGATTAATTTCTTTTGCACGTGCCTTTTCATGTCATGTGAACTAGCCATTGCTATAGTTTGAAATGAGTAGGAGCTTGATCCATTTGGAATATAGATTATTTGGGATTTCCAGAGAATTTTGGCTGGCCACAATTTGAGTAGTTTTAGAGGGGTTTGACCGGAGTAAGGAGTGCAAAGTTTTGGAGTATTGTGCCCTGCATGTTGTATTCATAGATTGTCTTGGGAAATAAAGGAGAAGTTTTTAACATAGGTTTATTGTGGGGCAGGTTGTACTCATAGATTGTCTTATGTTTAGCTATTGATGTTTTTATATTTAGAAAGGATAGGAAGGTACAAAAAGTGGATAATATTTTTTCTCAAAAACTAAAGATGATACTACAAAAATAAATGGGAAAAAAAATCAAGATGCATGCAACACAGCATGCCGATCTCTGAAGATATAACAAAGACATCCCCTGAAAAGACTATGAGCAGAACATCATAAAGAAGCTAGAAAAACTCTTCAATCCCAAATGAACTCAATAGAAAACTGCTGTCGCAAGAAGATTCTAGCACTTCTTTCCAACCAAATACACCGAATAACTGCAGCCTGAAAACAACAACAAAGCTTTTTGGGCATCTTTGCTATTACCAAATCATCTTAAATTAACATGTAAGAACTTCTGAAGGTCCTTGGGACAAATCCAGTGTAAAACATGAAACACGTTATTCCAGAGATAAAAAGCTGATGGGCAATGCAAGATCAAATGAGAACCTACTCAGATAGTTTTATTATACTTATTTATTGATGAGATTTTTAGAAGATTCAGCTCAGGATTTCTATCAGGTGTTTCCTTAGCAGATATGAGGAAAATTCAGAAAGATTTATTATACATTTTGTATTAATGAGTTATTCCCCTTTTTTCTTAGGTTTAATTTAGATGAACTTAGTTTTATACTCTTTCTTTGTATTCTATCTCCCATCTGGAAATATTCCTTCTTATTATGTAAATTTATGAATTTTATTATGTCTATATTATGCATCTAATTTTGTTACTTGTGGGATCACAGGTCAGCAATGAAAAACTATTTGGAATTATGGCAAAAACACTTCAATTGTTTGAAATGGGCTTCTCTGAGAATGAAGTATCATCAGCAATTGATAAATTAGGTGAGTCTTTGTGAAAGCTGATATTTTTTGAACAATGGAGCGTGAGCTTAGGTTTGCAGTCTTGCCTTTGAGAGTATTTATCTTTTTAGAGTATTTATCAATAGAACATAATTCATATCATTGCCTTTTATAATTCTGGAAAATGATATATATTCCTTTCCATTCATGTCCTATATAAGGACTTGGGTTTGCTAGTTAGTCTCTACATCTTTAGCTTATCAATTGGTTGTTTTCAGGTCCAGAGGCTCCAATTTCAGAGCTTGCAAACTTTATTTTTGCAGAACAAAATGGGATCGATTATGTGATGGAATACAAGGTTAGACTTTTTACTTTATATTTCAGATTATATGTTCTATCTTTTCTTTTGTAATTTAGCTTGTGTTTATATATAATAATAAACTAGATTTCACATTCACAATAATGAACATTGCTTCATAAGGTCATATTTTCATTTTATTTTTAATTTACACTTTATCTGTGTAAATGAAGCTGTGGCAAGTGGCAAGTGACAAGTATATGCACTGTCTGTGTGTTGAAATGAGCTCCTATGGGAGTTTAGGAGCTTGTAAAACTGAAACAAAATAGTGAAAAGTTAACTAACTGGTAAAGCAACAGATGCAGTGAAACTTGAAGGAAATAACTGAAAAGGATAACTATTGAGAAGCTTCACTTACATTTTCCATAGTCCTGCACTTTTACAACTAGTCAATGACATGGAACCACATGGAACAGGAGTAATGTTCTGAGCTACTTCACATCGCTGGTGCCTTCTTCAGGGTCTCAGTACCTTAATTACTTGGATAACAAACCCTACAACAGCTTAGAAATAGGTTAACGAAGGAATTGATTGGTAAATCGTTAGCTGCTCTTAGAAATCCTACATCAAATAACTGGTAGCATCCACCATTATTTTCCCATATCAAATTCAATTAAAAGCTGTTTTTATCTATTCCATTTTTTTTTAATAAATATCTAATATCTAATTATGAATTTAACCCAAATGACAGTAACAGGAAAATACCTAAGTTTTAATCTTGTTAATGTCCTTAATATTTGGTACATATTATATAATCTTTGTTAAACGTTAAATCTTCAATTATCATTGTTGATCATTCATGACACGGAAAAGTGTATTATGGTTAATTAATCATTCCCAAAAAATGTTATTTTTCATAATGAACATTAGTATTTATGTTTATTTGACATTGTTGTTTGGAATTTGGACTTAATATTAATATGTAATCTGATAGTAAAAAATATTAAGTTACTAGTTACTAAACTAATTTAACATACTATTTATAAATATTTATGTGAATATGTAGCTAATATCCAAAATTCATGAAAAATATTATCGGGTGCTGACTATAAGAATAGTATAAAAAAAAATACAGAAAATATTTCAAATTTTTGAATAATTGAATCTGCTTTTCAATGTATTTTATGTTATTTAAATCTAGTATGACATGTATAAAATCAACAATAATCTAAGAAACCTATTAAATAAAGTTAGGGTCACGTGTGGTTTGTTCCAGATAAAATTGTATTGTGCAAGTCATTCTTGACTACTAGTAAGTTGTAATTAGTCAGGTGTTTACTTAGTGATATTTTTCTCGTGTAGTTTCCCACCACTTCTGCTTATTCTGTGGGGATCAAAGATGAACCAGAAATGGATTTATATGGTACAGCAGAAGTGAAACCTGAGAATTTTAGCCATGAACCTTCACAATCATATCAGGTCAACTTAGAAGAAACTTACAATGATAATAGGGTGAAGGAAGAAGAGTGTATTGATGAGTTTCCCAGCACTGTTTCTGACCAATATATGGATTTTGTGGAGAATGATAGAGGTAAAAGGCCTAAGTATGAACATGATGATTCAATCTCTTGTCTTGATCCTTGTTGGGTGGAAGAAAGGGTAGATGCTGTTGTTGCAGAAATATCAAAACGTCCTAAACCAAATCCATCCAGGTGTCTTAGCAGTGTAGCAGCAAAGCCACCATTTTTCTTATTTGGGAATGTTTCAAACATATCCTATGATTCATGGTCAAAGATGTCTCAGTTTTTATATGGTATTGAACCTGAATTTGTGAATGCTCAGTTATTTTCTGCTTTAGATAGAATAGAAGGTTATATACACAATCTTCCGGTTGAAAACAGGTTCCACATCCTTCCAAAACCACCTATGACTATCGAAGATGCAATACCGCGGACAAAGAAATGGTGGCCACCTTGGGATTCAAGGAAGCAATTAAGCAACATATATTGTGAAACTAGTGGAATAGCCCAAACTTGCGATAGACTAGGAAATATTCTTGCTGATTCTGGTGGAGTGCTCACATCTGGACTTCAGAAGGACATTCATCGTTATTGCCGTGGATTAAATCTTCTGTGGATTGGTAAATACAAACTGGGACCTGTAGAGCCTGAACAGTTGGAGCTCATTTTAGGCTACCCTGTGAATCACACTCGTGCTGCCGAGGGCAATTTGACTGAAAGACTTAAATCCCTAAAATACAGCTTTCAGACAGACACATTGGGGTATCATCTTTCTGTGTTAAAGCCCATCTTCCCTCATGGATTGACAATGTTATCACTTTTTAGTGGTCTTGGTGGGGCAGAAATTGCCCTACATCGCCTTGATATTAAAATAAAAGCTGTTGTCTCAATTGAAACTTCTGATGCAAAAAGGAAGATTCTTGATAGGTGGTGGCGTCATTCTGGACAAAGTGGGACTTTGGTTCAAATCGAAGATGCTCAAAAGCTGACTAGTAAAAAACTTGAGAGTCTTATCAGTAAATTTGGTGGTTTTGACCTGGTCATTTATCAGAACCCATGCTCTTACTCAGGTTCCAAGCTTCAAGCCGGTGGAGGTCTCTCAGCTCTTGATTTTTCGGTGTTTTGTGAATGTGTACGGGTCTTGCAACGTGTAAGAGCTATGTGTCAAAGGAAGTGAGTGAAGTGACTTGCTCGAATGTTCTTGTAAAAAATTGTGTCATTCGATGTCTTTGGTGACTTGCTCTGTTCTTATCTGAACATTTTACTTAGCTGGCTGTGTGAAATTTTCAGTGCAGTAGAATTAACTTTCTTTTTTAATTTTCATTGCAGTCAATAAAAACTGTTCATACATGTAAATGCATTGGTAGGGTTATTCAAAAATGCATTGGTAGGCATTCCGGATTATTATTTCTCGAATTATACACCGAACTATTCCATGAAATTATGAATATTGGCCCATTTAATTTATAAAATTAAGAATGTTTTTGTCTTTGAAATTGGTAAACATAGATGATTTTGGTCTTTATTTTTGTCATTTAGGAAATTATGTCTTGAGCAATTTTAAAAACTGAAATTATCTTTTACTGATTTTAGGAAACAAAAAGGATTTTTATGTTTTCTTTTATAATTTTAAGAATTAAATTGATGGATGCTTATGATTTTAGAAATTAATTAAATGTATTATTCTTAGTTGTCAATGCTGACCCAGAAATAAAAAATGTCAGCAATTCTTCATAAACAAATGTCTAAAGAAATATTATTTTATAAAATGAGAGTTTGGAATCCATTGATTATAGGTTCTTGCATTGCATAACATCCCTAGACAGATTATTTATTTTTTTGTTTTCGATATTAACACATTTATGTGATTCGTGGGTGTTCAAATGAATGAGATGGCCGGCATCAAAACAAGTAACTATTGGACTGTTTCCAAATAACTATTGGACTGTTCCACAGTGCGATGGACAAAATCTCACCACATAGTCCAATTTAGTCGGACTAAGATTATAAAATTGTAATACCTTGCTGAGAGACAATTAAATGTAAAGTGTCCGTCAGATTTTACATTCAAATGACAAAATTATACTCGGGTTACATAATACATACATATTATATTGGTATATAAATAAATTAGGTTAAAATCCTATTTTGGTCCCTTATAATCTTTTTGGTTTTAATTTAGTCCCTCATTAATTTTTTGTCTCAATTTGGTCCCAAATTAATTAATTGGTTTTAATTTAGTCCTAAATTAATTAATTGGTTTCAATGTGGGACTTTCCGTCCAAATTGCTTTAACGGTGTTAACTTTTGGCCACGTGGACGCCACGTAGATGCATACGTGGCATCTACGTGGATGAGAATTTTTTTGAAAACACCTGGACCCAGAACGGCCCGTTCTGAAACCGGAACGGACCGTTCTAGTTGCAAAATTAAAACACCACCAGTGAAGCAGAATGGGACGTTCTGAAATCAGAACGGGCCGTTCTGCTTTCAAAACGGGCCGTTCTGAAATCAGAACGGGCCGTTCTGAACCAGAACGGCCCGTTCCAGAGCTGTGAATAAAATATTTTTTACTTAATTGTGTTTTTGATATAAAGAAAAATATTTTACAGGGATCAAAATTAAAATTTACTCATTTTATGAGGACCAAAAACAATGTTTATAAATTTTAGAAGGATGAAAAATAAATAAAAAAATTTTAGAGGGACCAAAATCAAAATCATCAATTTTATAGGGACTAAAAAATATTTGTCTAAAATAAAATCTTTAAAAAATATCCATGCAATGACAATGTATATCCATCTTAGTACTGTGTGAGAGGGATAATTTAATTTTTGTATGTGAGATTATGAATGATTCGAAAGTCTTTATTTATTGTGTTTGTTTGCTTTAACCCTATCGTGCCAGATTTATGAATTCTTTCTGTTTACAATTCTGTAAATGCATTGTAACTTGACAATACATTATTTCTACTTGTTCACAATGTATAAATTATAATAGCATAACATACATAAAAAATAATTGTTTTCATTAAAGTTTCTCTTTTCTTTGTCTGCTTTTGTTTAACTTCTTCTCTTCATAATTACCAGCTCAATGTTGCAAGTTCATCTGGAGGAAAACTACGAGCATTCTTTATTGGAATGGGATTCCTACCATGCCTTGTTGATAAAGTGATAGAGGAGAATGGTACATTTTGTGGGAGCTGGATGCTTATGTCACATTGTCATGTGCTAAATGCATGGCACTTTTTATGAATTTCTGAGATATTTCACTTTTCCATTTGAAGTATTATGGTTCTGTTTGGTTTTCTTTGAAATTTACAGGTGAAGAAAATTCTGAAACTTTATTAGAAGCTCTCTTGAGATATTCTGTAAGTTGACCAAAATATATGTTATAGTTTGTTTTTATTGTTGGTACCCTTGGGATTAGGATTCAGAAAGTTTATATTTATTTACTTTTAAAATTTATAAATAATGATAAAAGATGAACGATGTTCTGTATGTTCATTGAGATGAGAAATGTTAATTTGTACAGACAGATACCTATATACATGAAGGATTCAAATTATCATTTTATAAGCATAGTCCTTGAATTGCATATTGCTTGTACAAAGTAGAAAAATGTAAAAAAATAAGAAGCTAATTTGTTTTTTACCTGCAATGTTTTTTGCTCTGTATAAATTTCCTTACAGAAGACACAAATATGTGACTTGGTAGTCATGGATTCTAGTGCGGCTCTCTGGACCTCCACAGTAGTCAGAACCTTGTTTACCAAGCAACTTTTATTTTTATTTTTATTTTTATTTTTATAAATATTATTCTTAAATTATGTCATTTATTAGGCTTAAAGGAGGTTTAGTTATAAACTGAAAATATATAGAAACTAATAATTTGTCCATGATTGACTTTGTCAATGAAGTAACAAAATATGGACATAAAAATGTGAGTGCTTGGTATTATACAATTGGCAACGAGGACTTTGATGAATTAAATGGAATGAAAATCGAAGAGCATTTGTTACATATTGTCATGACAATGAAGATTGAGGGAAGAAAAATGTTGAAGGTTTGTGTTAAACATTTAGTTGATTCTGTTAATAAGATCGTAAGAGTAAATTATAATTTCAAATATAGATGTTCAATATATAGGATATATAAATCGATCATTACTTTATGCAAAAAACTTTTGTTTAAAATATAACAAAAAAAAACTAAGACTTTTTTTTTATAAAGAAAATTGACTGAGATTTTGAAAGTGTTTAAAATAGATCTTTTGATATTTATATATGCTTCCTTACACGAATTCAAATTCATTTGTTGTTCACACTTCATATACAAGTCAACTTCTTTAACAAAATTTAGAAACATAAATTCATTCTTCTTTATTAGATATTGTCAAAACAATGATACCAAAATAATTTGAGTAATGTATATGAGCAATACTTATTAATCATAAATATACTAATCATTTTTGAAATGTTTAGAGCCGATTGTTTTGAAGTTTATATGAATATTTTAGGGGAATAAAATAAAATTTATAATGATTAAGAATGATACGAAATTGCAAAATTTTATATAAATTCATGAAATTTAGGTTTAAGTTTACATTTAACATTGTTATTAGATATCAATATCATTGTTTTCAAAAGACCATGTTCATGTTTATTATTAACTAATGATTTTTTTTTTTACATAAACTAATGATTTGTTGGAATATAATCTATTAGCAAATGTATAAATAATACATGTTATTATATTGTAGTTGCAATTATTAGTTTACAATTATGATGTAAGGGACATATTATATACTCCACGAGAATGAGTGAATAATGCACCATTTGAAAATTTGTGTTTGAAACACATTTAGATTCAAATTCAAATATATAAATAAAAATTATGTGTGAAAATGAAAATGACATGTGCAAATTCACAAGTATCTTATTAATTTTCTAAAAGAAAAAAGATATTTGAGAGTTATATATGAAAGAAATAATTGAAATTCTTCAAATTCTTAAAAGTATGTTTGTTTTACAAATTAAAAATTTATTCTCGATAATATTGAGTTAGGGATGTCATATTCCCATGTTTGTTTAGAATTTCATAAAAATATTTTCAAGGTATAATTTATTTCCAAGGAAATACTCATAACATGATTCACTTTATTTTAATTTCCATGATAGAAGATGCAAAATTGTATTTAATGTGAAAAGTTATATTTTAACTAATTTTTTTATTTTAATTAATTTTAATTTTTTAAATATTCTTAAAAATGTTAAAATTTCACCAAACATATTTTTAAATATTCTCGAAAATAACATTCCAATAATAATATTTTTAGAAATGTGCTTCAGAGAAAAGTCATAACACATCTAAACACCTCCTAAGAATGTGTTTATTTTGAGCAAATCACACATTCCAATATTCTTTCAACAAAAAAATAATATCACATGACTTTTCTAATTGAACGAGAAAATAAACATGTCTTAAAATCATAACAAATGTGAATATAAGGTTATTAAATGAGAAAAAAAAGAGTTGGTTATAAGATACATGTTCCTATGTATAAGAAAAATGAACAAAACTATGCAACTGTCTATAAAACAAAAAAAAAGAACAAAACTATGCAACTGCCATCTCAATGATGTATGATTAGTTTACTGATTTTTAAAATACATCATAAAAATCATACTAATTATGAATTTTATAAACTGATAATGTAATTTTTTTTATTAATAATATATAACTATTAAATCCATATAATATCTATTAAAAACGTATAATATATTCATGCTATTTGTTCATATCTATTTACATTGATATCTTTGTTCCTTGTTCTCTAAAAAAGAAAAATTAAGTTCATTGGCTGAGTCATATAACCTTTTAGTTTAACATGATACTTTTTTATTGATACTTTAAGAGAATAAAACCTCAATGTTATCATGTAAGGAGCTAATGATATTTAGGGGGGTGTATTGGATTAGGATTTTAAAGGACTTTTTTAGTAAAAAAAAATCCTGCAGATTTTAAAAGACTTTGCAGGATTTTCAAGACTTTTAAGATTTTGCAGGATTCTACAAGATTTAAAATCAGGATTTTAATGGATTCTATAAGACTTTTAAATCAAGATTTTAATGGATTTTGTGAGATTTTATGGAGTTTTGACATTTGATAAGATTTAAAAAAAATTCATACATTCAAATTTAAAAAGAGTCAAAGATAAAAATAATTAAAAAAACAATAATGTCTAGATAAATAATAATAATAATTCTCCATAATATTCTATCAACTTTTTATAGTATCCACTATCAATTGTAACAATTCATTGGAATCCTCCTTGGTCTAAGCTTCATAGTTTTCTTTCTCTTTTCCTTTTTCTTTATTATTTC